AAAGAAAGAAAGAAAGAAAGAAAGAAAGAAAGAAAGAAAGAAAGAAAAAAAGAGAAAGAAAGAAAGAAAGGGTATAGATGAAAGCTGGAGTGTTGGCTCAGTGGTTAAGGGCAGGAGATGCTATTCCAGAGAATCCAGGTTTCTGCTTCAGTTCTCAACACCCAAATGGCAGTTCAAAAACATCTATAACTCCAGTTCTGGGGGACCTGATGTGCTTTTCTGGCCTCTTTGGGTGCCAGACACTCACATACCTGCAGGCAAAACACTCACACACACATAAAATCAAATTTAAAATCTGTAATATACAGATGAGGACTAAAGGTAGGCAGTAGAGTGTTTCTCTATCATGCATTTTACCCTGGGTCAATTTCCAGCTTACATAAAACCAGGCTTTTCAAATGCCTTTAATCCCAGCACTTGGGAAGAAGGCAGAGTCAGTTTGAGGCCAGCCTGGTCTACAGCATGAGTTCCGGGACAGCCAGGGCTACACAGAGAAACCACCACCAACAACCTCCAAAGAACAAATAAAACAAAACAAACAAAAAACCTCAACAAACAAAAATCAAAACAAAAAACAGTCAGGCTATTGTTGTTAATTCAAGTTTTCAGTACGTAGTGGAAGCTAGATAACAGGTCTATCTGTACCCCACTCAGTGACAATTCATGCGTTCACTTTGCCCACCATTAGGGGGCACCCAACACCATCAGGAACTGTTTTCAGATTTTAGGGGAGAAGGGGCCTTGCACACCCATCTTCTAAGTCTTCAGGAGACAGGACACAAGGGCTAGAGTCCAAAGTCTGAGCAAGAAGAAATGCAGGGTTCAGATCGCTCTCTTTCTTAGGCAGAATTTGTGCACCTGGACTATGTGGTCCCAAACGGAGGTGGTTGGGGATGTGAGGAAGAAAGGAATCTGGGGGGTGGCACCAGGACGGGCTGGGAGCAGAACTGGCCTGGGCAGTGGTTCCCTTTGGCTTGAGTCTGTGGGAAACACTGGACAGAGCGAGGATTGTTCCCCCTTTGTCTCCCCCTCCTAGGCACCCCTAGAGCTTGGCAGCCTCAGTTCTTCCCAGGCCCTTGGACTTGGGAGCCTTCCCAGCGCCCCTCCTTCCTAGTCCCTGTTTTCTACTGGACTCACAGCTGCCCAGCCTCCGAACCTGGGAAAATTGCCCCAGGAGTATTGAAAGACTGGCTGCAAATTTTTGCCAAACAGATTAGGCGAAATCCAGGCCATGAGTCCTCTGCGGGACCAACAACACCACCTATGGGACACGGGAGTGAGGGGCACAGACCTGTCCTCCGACCTCATAGGAGGACCTGGGCAGGCTTCGTGTAAGACCCTACCTTGTATAAACAAAAAGAACAAAGAAATGAAACACATAGCAATGTTAAAATCATCAAAATGGTTTCAACTATTGCCCTTTTTTTTTTTTTTTCGACACGGGGTCCTTCTGTTTTGCCTCACCTGTCTTGGAATTTGCTCTATAGACCAAGCTGGGTTCCAAGATCTGCCTGCCTCTGCTTCCCAGGTACCGGGATCATGGATGTGTACCACCAAGCCCAATACCATCGGTTTATTGTCAGAAGCCACATGAAAGCACGACTGGGTTTTTCTCTGCTGTGTCCTGTTCCTAAAGCTAGCACTTTGTTTGTTTTTGTTTTTGGTAAAACCCATATGGGGTTAATATGTTGAAATTGTCCAAGAACCTAAGTTTCAGTGTGTTATCCTCCTGGGGCCCTGGCAACCTTAGCGTCAATTTCCTAACTTTAGCAGGGCTTTGTGAGCACCAACTAGCCTCTCCTCTGTGCCAGGCACCTTTTTGGACAACTCATTCCCACGCCCTTTCTGTTTTTCTGTACTCTGGCTTGAACTGAGGCCCCTCACACAGGCCGAGCAGGAGCCCTAGCCCTCTTATTACTGTGTGTACATGCGCAAGCACACACAGCACACATGTGGAGGCCAGAGGACCACTTGTGGAGTGGGGCTCCCTTCCCACCTTTTTGTGTGTTCTGTACTCACTGAGCCACCTAGTCCGTGCTGGTTTTGTTTGTCTGTTTTTGGGACAAGGTCTGATGTAGTCCAGGCTGGTTTCGTTCATTATGCTCAGAGTCACCTTGAGCTCCTGATTCCCCTGCCTCCACCCCAGGACTTTGGGAGTGTTCTGCTATAGGCTCCGGCTGCTACACCTGGGTAGTTCAGAGGGGTTGAAAGGTATATACTGAGCAGATAGCTGTGGCGCCTTACCCCAGCACTCAGGAGGCAGAGGCAAACTGATCTCTGACAGTTCCAAGCCAGCCCGGTCTACAGAGTGAGTTCCATGACAGCGAGGCTACCCAGAGAAACACTGTCTGGTAAAACAAAAACAACAGCAACAACAAAAAACTTATTTTTAAGGGCTGGAGAGTTGGCCTAGCAGTTAAGAGCACTGCCTGCTCTTCCAGAGGACCCGGGTTCAGTTCCCAGCACCCACAGCAGTTCACTCCTGTCCACAACCCCAGTTCAGAGGATCTGACACCCTCACAAAGAGAGACAAGCCGGCAAAACACCAATGCACATGAAATTTAAAAACAATAAAAACAATTATTTTCAAGTTATGTGTATATACTGTTTGTTTTGAGCAGATCTTACTCTGCCACCCAGGATGGCCTCAAAAATACTGCTGTATTAAAGAAAGAAAGAAAGAAAGAAAGAAAGAAAGAAAGAAAGAAAGAAAGAAGGAAGCAGGGTGTAGTGGCACTGGGGAGGCAGGAGCAGGAGGAAATCTATGTGAGCTCGAGGCCAGCCTGGTTTAAATAGTGATTTCCAGGACAGTCAGGGCTCCGTAGAGAAACCCTGTCTTAAAAAAATTAAAATTGGGGGCTGCAGAGATGGCTCAGTGGTTAAGAGTGCTGTCTGCTCTTCCTAAAGGATCCAGGTTCAATTCCCAGCACCCACATGGCAGTTCACAACTGTCTGTAATGCCAATTTCAAGGGATCTGACACCTTCACAATAAATGCACATTAAAAAATAAATTAATTAAAATTAAAATTAAGCCAGGCATACGCCCTTGATCCTAGCACTCTGAGAGGCAGAGGCAGGGAGATATCTGTGAGTTCGAGGCCAGCCTGGTCTACAAAGCAAGTCCAGAACAGCCAAGGCTACACATAGAAACTCTGTCTCAAGACAATTAAAAAGTAAAAACAAACGTAATTTTTTATTTAAGTTTACTTTTTATAATTTATTCACTTTAAATCCCGATTGTAGCCCCCTCCCTCAAAATAAATGTAATTTTATTTTCTTTTTAATAACTTATTTAATTTTATTTTATGTGCATTAGTGTGAAGGTGTCAGATCCCTTGGGATTGGAGTTACAGACAGTTGTGAGCTGCCATGTGGGGGCTGGGAATTGAACCCCGGTCCTTTGGAAGGGCAGACAGTGCTCTTAACCACTGAGCCATCTCTCCAGCCTCATAAACGTAATTTTAAAAGAAAACTAAAACTCGCTATGTAGTCTAAGCTAGACTTAGAATTGCTATGATCCTCCTGCCTCAGGTCTCAAGGGCTAGGCTTACAGGTGTGAACTGCCTGTCTAGTATTTACTTTTCTTTCCGATGGACCAGGTTTTGTGTTAAAGCCACAGACTTACGGGTGCTCACCAAATGCTTGTAATGCAGGATGCTAACTCTCTTGTCATAAAACCACACCGATCAAATGTTGATGAGATTCCGTAGACCCTTCACTTCGGCTCTGGGGGCCTCAGAAAAGGAACCACGCCAAAGTCAATGAACCTGGATCAATTTATTCTTTCACTGGAAGAATTCAGTCTACAGGTCAGAGCAGGAGGACAGGGCTGCTGGGACAGGGGGATGTAAGGCCATCCTGATCAGGTGATGAGAGCGAAGAGGTCGAGGGCCAGGTTCTCCCTTCCTCTGACTTGGGGTTTGCATGACATTATTCTCCCTTTAGGAGAAGGAGGAGCTGGTCCGTAAAAATGCCCGCGTAAGTGCTCATGGCCGCAGAGCTTTTGCTGTACGTGTCCCTGGAGAAAAAGCACAGTGGGGTTGGAAAGAAGAGCCTGGAAGCTGGAGCCCTGGGCCTAAGGGAGAAAAGCTAGGGTTTGGACATCTGCATTTGAGAGAAGAGAGATGTGGCCCAATCTTCCTTGGTCTGAGGAAGGAAGTCTGGAATCTGGACCCTAGGCAGGGAGGAGGGCTGGATTCTAAACTGCTGGGACTGGGAAAAGAGAGTTAAACCTAACCCTGTAGATCTGAGAGAGCAGGGCTTAGACCTGGACCTATCTGAGGGAGGAGCCTGCACCCCTAGACTGGAGAGAGGAGAGCTGGGCCTGGACCCTTAGGTCTGAGGGAGAAGGGCCTAGACGAGGACGCTGTCTTTGCTCGGCAGGACGCACCTGAGTTTCTCATCCACAGTGGTCAGGAATTTGCTGCTGTACAGGCCTTGGGCAGCCTCCTTGGCAGAGTCCCAGTAACGGTAAAGAGACTGCTGCACCTTGTCCAGCAGAGCTGGGCTGCCCGGATCATCTTCAGGGGTTGCCTGGACCTCTGAGGGAGCATGATGGTTAGACTGGTTGCACTGAGGTGTCCTTGGGTGAGTGAACGTGGGTGAGGAAGAAGACGGGATGGCAGAGGAAGGCGGGGCAATGCCTGAGAGTCACCCAACCCTTCCTCCCTGAGCCCTCACCACCACCTTGAGGCCCCACTCACCACATCCCAGCACCAGGAGGACGAGGAACACAGCCAGGAGGAACCGAGATCCCATACTGTCTGTGACCGGGAGCACTGAGGACGGTGTTGTGGCAGGCAGCAGAACTCCGGGGCAGTGCACTGCTAGGGTCCTGGTCTCCAGGGCTGGGCGGGCACCCTGCTCTCTCCCGATTCCTGCCCAATAAGGATTTGAAACAATTCAGATGAGGGCTCTTCTGAAATTCTATTCCAGAGGCTCGCTTTCTTTTCTTTCTTTCTTTCTTTCTTTCTTTCTTTCTTTCTTTCTTTCTTTCTTTCTTTCTTTCTTTCTTTCTTTCTTTCTTTACTTATTGTGGGGGTCAGGGGTAACCACACAAGGTCTCCCTATATATAGCCCTAGTTGGCCTGGAGCTTACTATGTAAGACCAGGCTGGCCTCGAACTCAGAGAGCTGCCTGTCTTGGCCTCTCAAATACTGGGGTTGGTGGTGTGTGGGACCATACCTGGTCCTGTGTGTGTGTGTGTGTGTGTGAAGCCAGGCATAGTGGTATATGATTTTGATCCCAGCACTCAGGAGGCAGAGGCAGGTGAATCTCTATGAGTTCAAGGCCAGCCTGGTCTACATAGTGAGTTCTATGACAGCCTGAGCTGTATCAGGTGATGCCCTGTCTGGAAACAAAACTACAATAATAAAATAAGTGTATTTGGGTGTTTTACCTGAATGTATATAAGTGCAGTGAGTGTGTGCCTAGAGGCCAGAAAAAGGATTGGGTCACCTGAACCTGGAATGAGAGATGTCTGTGAGTCACCTTCTGAGAACCAAACCCAACTCTTCCTCTTCTTTTTTCTTACAGGGTTTCTCTGTGTAGTCCTGGTTGTCCTGGGACTTGATCTGTAGACCAGGCTGGACTGGTCAGAGAGCCACCTGCTTCCACCTCCCAAGTGCTGGATTAAAGGAGTGCACCACCACACCAAGCTAAAACCCCAAGTCTTCTACAAGAGCAACAAATGCTCTTAACCACGGAGTCATGTCTCCAGGCCCCACGTTTGTTTTTCTGTTTTGTTTTAAACACAAAGTCTTATATAGCCCAGGCCGGCCTCAAACTGACTTGAACTCCTGATCCTCCTGCCTTCACCAGATATTTGTGCCTCTAGTGTCTAGGTTCTTTTTATTTTGTATTGTTTTGCCTTGTTTCGAGACAGGGTTCCTTTGTAGCCTTGGCTGTGCTGCCTCCCTGAGCTGCTGGGATGAAAGGTGTGCGTGACCGCAGCCAGTTATGTCCTCAGATTCTTGAGCCCACTGCTGCTTTGTTCACTCGCCCTCTCCCATTTGCTGAGGGTTGTATAGCCAGAACACAAAATAACCATCCTTTGGGATGAGAAACTGAGACAGCAAGAGGCTGAAATGCAGTCAGGCGCGGTGGCGCAGGCCTGTAATCCTGGCACTAGCGCTCAGGGAGGCAAAGGCAGGCGGATCTCTGTGAGTTTGAGGCCAGCCTGGTCTACAGTGTGAGCCCAGGACAGCCAAGGCCACACAGAGAAATCCTGTCTCGAAAAACCAAAAACATAAAAACAAAAATAGATGTTGAAATACAGGTGGGAGAAATGAGGGTTCAGTAGTTGAGATCATTAACTGCCCTTCCAGAGGACCTGAGTTCAAGTCCCAGTACCTATAGGGCGGCTCGGCAACCGTTTGTCTCTAAGTCTAGTCCTAGGGGATCCAATGTGCTCTTCTGGTGTCTGCAGGGAGCCAAGCACGAACATGGTACATAAGCATCCATGCAGGCAAAACATCCATACACACAAAATAAATAAACAAAAGATGTTTTCAAAAGAGGTAGAGCTCAAACCTGGGAGAAGGGCCAAGTTAAACAAATAGACCACAAATCTAAACTCCACAGTTTTAGTCGGGCGCATGAGAGCATGCCTGGTCAGGCTGAGGGAAGAGAAGCAGAAGTTCAGGGCTAGCCTGGGCTGCAGAGCGAGACCCTCTCTCAAAAAATGGAAGGAAGGAAGAAAAAAAGAAATAAAGACAGAAAAAAGCCTTTCAGTTTCATGATTCCAAGACAGACATCTAGGGCAGATCTAAGGCGGATCCTCCTGTAGTTTCTGACTTAGGAATCTCTACCCCTGACGCTCTTCCCCGCACCCTTTGGTCCACCTCTTACCTGAACGTAACAGACAGAATGGGACTGAGCTCACTAGCTCAGTGGGCTGGCAGGCTTTATAGCTCCAGAGGGGCCCCCTCCTTCCATATCAGGCAGCTCCTCTGTCCTAGGACAAAGTCCTGGCCAACAGAGCCACGGGGGGGGGGGGGGGGGGGGGGGTTGGGTGGCAGGCCTGGAAGGGCAGTGGCCAGGGACGTTCACTGCCAGGTTTCCACAGGGAAGCCCCACTTTGAAAAGCCACCCAAAAACTGGGCAGAGCTGCAACCTCAAGCTCTTTCAAGAGGCTGAGGCAGGAGGATCAAGAATTGAGTGAGTCCAAGAGCCACTGGTCAATTTAGCAAGATTTTTACCTAAAAATGAAAAGGCTTTGTTTTGGTTTTATCCACACAGGGTCTCATATAGCTCAGGCTACCCCGGAACTCTCTGTGAGGTTGAGGCTGTCCTTGAGCTCCTGATCTCCCAGGTACTGGGATTACAGTACCTCCATGCTCAGCCTAGTCTACAGAGAGAGTTCCAGGATAGCCAAAGCTACACAGAGAAACCCTGTCTGGAGAAGAACAAGAGAGAGAGAGAGAGATCTGGGAATCTGACCCATCCTGTAGAGGAGCCTGCTACTAATACTGATGAACTGGGTTCAGGCTCCCAAGCGAAAGGACAGAACAGACTCCTGAGAGTTGCCTTCTCACCCGTATATGTACGAACGGCACATGCACACACATACGAATAAATCCATGTAATACTTAGCAGTCCTTAGCCTTAACCATTCAGCTATCCAGTCATCCCCTAAATAAAGGTAATTTTAAAAGAGGGCTGGGTATGTGGCTCAGTGATAGGGTACTTAGCTGGCTTGTGTGAGGCCCTGGGTTCGATCCCTAGACCACTGTCTCTCCCAGAAGAAAGACAACCCCCCAGTTCCTGAGAGACATAGGTGGGCTTGGGTATTGTGGAGGGGTTTTTCGATTTGTGGAACCCACTTGGAATAGGGTGTATTCTAGGAAGAGAGGGACACTGTGAGGATGTGGGTCAGGTGACCCGTAACTGGCCTCCTGAATCCGAGCTGGCGCCTGGAAGTCTCCAGTTCACTTCCAGCCGGAACCATGGGGGGAGGGAAAAGGTTATCTCTGTGGCCCCTTCCCCTAAAGCTTTCCTCGCGCCCTCCCCAGCCAGGTGACAGTCTTTCCACTTATTAACTCCTAGATACGACGGGAGGTTGACCTCTGGCCTCAGGAAGGACTACGCGGCCGGTGACACAGATAAGAACAAACACCTTTATTACGGGTGCCAGGGGAGGGAGATGTGGAGCCCTTTAACCCTGAGTCTGGTCCCTGCAGAGCAGCCGGGGACACAGGCTGTGGGTCTTGTTTAGGAGGTGGTCTCTGGAGTTCTGCAGCCAGGCTTGAGTGCGGGGACCCAGGTCTTTCAGGTGATCTTCATAGTAGGTCTGCACAAAGCCCTGGACAGCTCCAGGGCCCCTGTGGAAAGGGGACATCTTAGTTGGCAATCCAGATACCACAAGGGTATGGCTCATTTACTTCTGAACTCCCTCGGACTCAAGACTCCAGACTCTTCTCGGTCTTCCCTCAGATCTGGGGGGCCAGGCCCAGCCCTCCTCCCTCAGAGCCATGGGTTCAGGCCCCAGCCCTCCTCCCTCAGAGCCATGGGTTCAGGCCCCAGCCCTCCTCCCTCAGACCCGGGGACCCAGGCCCAGCCCTCCACGCAGACCCAGGGGTCCAGCCATAGGCTGTCTCCCCTCTAATTCTGGGGTCTCCTCCCAGCTGAGCACCAGAACTCTCACCAGAACCACCGCCATTTGTCCCTGGTCTTGGTCACAAATGGCTCCACTATCTTCATCACCCTGGCCTTTACCAGGCTCCAGCGGCTGTTCTCAGGGCTAGGTGTGGGGTCCAGGCTTTCTGAAGGTGTGGGTGCTGGGGGAAACCACAGAGGCTCAGCTTGAGTGGGCCGGGTCTTGGAACCCTATTCCTCTCTCCCCGAATGTTACTCCTCTAGACAGGTGTGCCCACCTTTGTATCTAGACACCCATGTCACCCCTCAACATAGGCCACATCTGACTTCACCTGTCCTAGACTCAGTTTCCCTCCTGTAAATAGGCACAGGGACCTTGTTTGGTTTGAAGGTTATTGTGCCATCGGGGAGCAAGTGACCAGGAAAGTGCCTTGTATGCACGTTGCGCAACCTTGCCTGTCCTGGGTTTACCAGCCCCCCTACACCATGGCCTTCACTCCCACCATCTGATCTTCTCCTCTTCCCCACTGACCATCCCTCCCTTGTCTCTCTGTCTCCTGAGATTTTCTGGCTCAGTCTGGAACCCCCCTTCCCACCTGGTGCCTCTCTCTAACCACTTAGCCCTTCAGCCCAAGGATGGCCCCTGACCCAGAAGTAGCTGCTGCCTCCCAGTTCTTCACACAGAATCAGCTGCCCCCTCCGTACACAGAGCAGAAAAAGCTGTAATTCACCCTCTCCCGGGGACAATGTTCCTGGCTGTTTTCAGTCCCTTTTGGACACAGTTCTCTTCCCTGCATACACACACACACACACACACACACACACACACACACACACACCCCTCTCGTTCCAGCACCCACACGCCTAGGTAGAGACTCACCCACAGATACTAGCCAACGTACAAATATACATGTGCATGCTTGTGTTGTTTCTTTTGACCTGTTTCGAATATTTATTGTTATCATGTGTACATGTTCCTGTCTGTGTGGCCATGTAAAGGAATGCGCTGCCTGGACTTTGGTCAAAGGTGTCGAATTCCCTAAAGCTGGGGTGGCAGGCAGTTGTGAGCTCGGGAACCAAACTCCTGTCCTGTGCAAGAGCAGTAACCAGCTTTATCCCTGAGTCTCTCTCTCTCTCTTTCTCTGTGTATGTGTGTGTGTGTGTGTGTGTGTGTGTGTGTGTGTGTGTGTGTGTTCAATGAGACACGGTTCCTGTATTCCTGGCTGGCCTCTCGAAGAGCAGATGACTTCTGACCTCAAACTGCTGCTCTCCTTTGACCCCACCTACTACGTGGAGGGCTGAGGAGTGTGTGAGCCCACGCCAGGTTTGTGTCGGCAGGGCTGGACCCCGGGCTTTGTGCACGCTGGCTAAGGCACTCTGCCAGCTGAGCTTGTCCCAGGCTTGTCCTGAAGCGTCCTCGGTGGCTGAGGCCAGCTTGAGCTCCTCATCCTCTTGCCTCCCCCTCCCAACTCGCTGGGTTCCAGGCATGTGCCACCACACCCAGGCTCATGCACTCTAGTTCAGCAAGTTTCACGTCACAGGCTGCCATAAGCCTCACCTATGACTTCACCTCTCTCAGACAGTTTCCTGTTCTGTGAAAGGAGCACTAAGCTAAGAGTATGGGTGGCGCCTGCCAGGCCACCAGCACTGTCTATGGGAGATGAATGTATATTTTAAGACAGGGTCTCACCTTTAACTTACTGTGGAGACCAGGCTGGCCTCAAACTCACGGAGGTCCACCTGCCGCTGCCTCCTGAGTGCTGGGATTTTCATGAGGATGAGGGCTTTGCTTGTATGTATGTGTGTGTACCTGGTGCCCACAGAGGTCGAAGGGGATGTGGAACCCCCTGGAACCCGAACTATAGATGGTTGTGAGCCATCATTTGGGTGCTGGGAATTGAACATGGGCCATCCACAAGAAGAGCCAGTGCTCTTAACCACTGAGGAATCTTGCCTGCCCAGGTTTCTTTCTTTCTTTCTCTCTTTCTCTCTTTCTTTCTTTCTTTTTTCTTTCTCCCTGTCTCTCTCTTTCTTTTTCTTTTTTTTTTTTTTGAGACAGGGATTCTCTGTGTAGTCCTGGCTGTCCTGGACCTCTCTCTGTAGACCAGGCTGGCCTGGACACAGAGATCTACCTGTCTCTGCCTCTGAGTGCAGGATTAAAGGTGTGTGCCACCACTGCCTGCCTTCCAAACTTTTTTCTTTACTTAAGGAGTCTTGTTATGTACCTCATCCTGGCCGTACCCTCTTGCCTCAGTGTCCCCAGTTTGGGAATTTAGCATGTGCCTTTAGACATGGTTCCTTAGATGACTGTATTTTAATTGATAGATTTTAATGGTAATGGATGTTGACTGCCTGCTTGGCAGGTGTTATGCCACTAAGATATAGCCCGAGGCCGTTCTGTCCGAAAATTTAAAAAAAAAAAAAGTGTATTTATGTGTCTGTAATACGTGTTTCTGTGTGTGAGGTCCTCATGTGTGTCCCACAGCCCTCACATGGAGGTCAAGGACAAGCTAACGAGGCTGTTCTCTGCACCTCGTGGGTTCCAGGACCAAACTCAGGTCTCTAGGCTTTCATGGCACGTGCTGTACCCACCGAATCATCTCACTGGTCCCCATTTTCTGTAATCTTTAAAACCGAGTGTCACTAAACTGTCAGGGGGACCCCCAACCTGCAATCCTCCTGCCTCAGCCTTTGTGTAATTAGGATTATAGACCCCCAACCAGCACACTCTTCTCATGAGAAGAAATCTTAAATGCATGAACAAAATACAGATCTCTGTGTGAGCACACACGCAGAAACAGCTTCCCCTGCAGCCACACACTTGGGACTTTCAGACCCATTTCCTGTAGAGAGCACACACACAGGTGCCCACCCAGGAGCCATTGCACATCTGTGATTCTAGTGCTCAAAAGGTAGAATCCCAGAAGATCAGGAGTTCAAGGCCATTGTTGGCTACACAGCAAATTGGAGACCAGCCTAAGCTACCTTGGACCCTGTCTCATAAAACCAAACAAAACAGAAACCGCCAACAGCAACAAATCCACAAATAAACAGTATCAAACAATAGCAACAAAAGCATACTGTGCCCATGGTGCCACATAGATCCTTGTCACAACTGCAGCTGGGACCAAAGGACTGACTGTAAGGCTTTGCTTTGAGGAATTCTTGCCTTGTATGCACAAGGCCCAGAGTTCGATCCCCAGCACCACACAAGCCAGGCGTGAGGGGGCAAGGATGGGAGGCAGGGGTTTTCAAAATTCAAGATCATCCTTGGCTCTATCTTTGGATAGTCTCCAAAGAACAAAACAAAACAAGCCTGTGGTATCTGGAGGCCCTGTGTTCCTGCCCACTGTGTGTGTGTGTGTGTGTGTGTGTGTGTGCGCGCGCGCGTTGCACTCACCTTACATGGCTACTGACTCATTTGATTAAAGCCACAGTCACCCCCACCCAGAGAACCCCACCTCCAGCAGCCCCCAACTCCTCACCTACAAAACAGGCCAGGAGCAGCAAGGAAAGGCAGAGTGAGGGCAGGACCCACAGTCTGTATCTCAGCGGGGACATTTCTGGGTCCCTCTGTCCCTTTGTCTCTCGGTACTCTACTCTCCACCCTAGGGAAGAGACAGGCAACACTGGAAAGGGTCCTCCCCTTGTCACCTCCCCACTCTCCTTGGCAGGACTTCAAAGAGATGGATGGATCTGGTGACATCGACAGTCAAAGGCCATGCCCGCCCTTGTCTGCCTCCCTCTTTCGTACCCTCCCGGGATGATGCTCTGTCCTCACAGAAGCGTCAACACTCATGCCACACTCTACCAGAATTTTCCTGGACTCAGTTTCTTCCTTTGGGAATTAAGACCATAATCTATACTTGAGAAATTGGTGTGTGTGAGGGGTTCATTCTGTTTTATTTTGAGACAGGGTCGAATGTAGCCAAGGCTGGCCCGGAACTCATTATGGCCAAGAATGGCCTAGACTCTCTATCCTCCCCCATGCCACCACGCCCGGTCTTCTTTCTACTTTTTATTTTGTAGCAAGGCCTCACTAAGTAGGCCAAGCAGGCCCTGAAATGGTGCTCCTCTTTGCCTCTGCCTCTGGAATAACTGTGATTACAGGCTTCTTCCCACACCGTGTGTGGCTTGCGTTGTGAGTTCTTTTTTTCTTCTTCTTTTACTTTTTTCTGTGTTTTCCTTGGCTGTTCAGGACTTCCTTTTGTAGAGCAGGCTTGCCTCGATCTCACAGAGATCTGTCTGCTTCTGCCTCTCTGAGTGCTGGGATTATAGGCATGCGATCTACAGTTTCAAGAATAAACTACATTAATGGGAAAAAAATTAATTTAACTATGTTCCATGCAAGATTTGGGAATTTTACCAAATAAATATTTAAATATGACCTACTCGTCTGAAGGTGAAGTGTAACTGTGTACCCCACGGCTCCCTGTTTCTTTTGTTTGTTGTTTACTGAAACATTTTCTCAGGGCAACCTGGACCGGCCTTGAATTTCTGATGCTCCTGCCTCTACCTGCCCGGTGTTGGGATCACAGGCAATGCCCACGTGCCCAGGACACTTTGTTTTTACAAAGCAAATCTCTTGATGGAATCTTACCTGCAGCCAGAGTAACCCTGCCCCAGACGCCTGAGGAAGGCTGACCCATCATCATGGGATGCTCATCTCCTGTCTATTTCTCGCTGACAGTTAGAAAAAAAAATCTCCCAGAGCTGCTGTTTGTCACCACCAAACATTTTAGGAATAGACTCTGGGCCTGGTTGCACAATCATGTAAATGTACCCAACACTGCTGACCCAGACACTCGAAAGTGGCTGAAATGGTAAATTTTATTTTCTGTGGTTTGTTTAGCACAAAACGGCAAGCCATACATAGACTCCCCGTGCCTTGTCATGAAAACAACGTCTTGCTGGACATGGTTGTGGTGGCACACTCCTGGGACCCCAGGGTTTGAGAAGTTGAAGCGGGAGTTTCAGCATGGGTGTCCTAGCAAGACCCTGCTTTCCACACATGCAGGCAAGATGTAGAGTTTACAGCCAAACTCCACCTCTTTTCGGCATTGAGACCTGCTACAGTTTCCTTAACCTCCGTGGGCTGATTACTTCACACTAAAATGTGATGGGTTGATTATCGTTACCCAGCTTGAGACAATACAGAGCATCAGAACAGGGCCACCACAGTTAACTAACTGTAAGTTGCTATCTATTTATTCAGTTTTGAAACAGAAATTTTAAGCCGAGTGTGGGAACATAGGCCTTTAATCCCAGCACTCGGGAGGCACAGGCAGGTGGATCTCTGTGAGTTTGAGGCCAGCCTGGTCTACAGAGTGAGTTCCAGGACAACCAGGGCTACACAGAGAAACCCTATCTCGAAAAAGAGAAAAACATAAAAAAACAACAAAAACAAGATTTTATAGCTAGGTATGGTGGTACAGGCCTTTAGTCCCAGAGCACAGAAAGCAGAGGCAGGCTGGGCACAGTGGTACATGCCTGTAATCCCAGCACTTAGGGAGGCAGAGGCAGGCAGATCTCTGTGAGTCTGAGGCCAGCCTGGTCTACAAATCGAGTCCTGAACAAAACAAAAAACAAAAAAAAAAAAAAAAAAAAAAAAAAAAGCAAACAGAGGCAGGAGGAGGATAGCTATAAATGACCATAGCAGTCTTCTTTATTTATTTTGGTTTTTATTATTTTACTTTTGATTTTTGAGACAAGGTATCTCTGTGTAGCTAGGCACTTACTTGTTAAACAGGGGCTCTCTTCTTGTAGCCCTGAGTGCCTGGAACTGTGATCACCTTGTGTCTGCCTTCCAAGTGCTTGGGATCATTGGTCTTAGCCACCACACCAAATTTCATGAATGTTAGCAAGTACTCCACCAACTGAGTCCAAGGATGATGATCTTTATTTGGCCTGTGCTTCCTTACACACACACACACACACACACACACACACACACACACACACAAACTCATGCACGCACGCACGCACGCACGCACACGCACACACAGTGCTCAAAGCCAGAGGGAATGACTTTGATATTCTCCACAAATTAGAGATGTTTTCCCCACTGTTGGGAATTGAACCCAGGGTTTGTGTTTGAGCACAAACCACTGAGCCACACCCCCAGCCCCTCACTGGGGGATTCTAGGCAGAGGCTCTACCACTGAGCCACACCCCAGCCCCTCACTGGGGGATTCTAGGCAGGGGCTCTACCACTGAGCCACACCCTCAGCCCCTCACTGGGGGATTCTAGGCAGGGGCTCTACCACTGAGCCACACCACAGCCCCTACCTGGGGGACTCCTTTCTTCCTTCTTTTCTCCTTTTTGAGACTGGGTCTTGCTATATACTTCCTACATAGACCAGAGATCCACCTGCCTTTTCCTCCCAAGTGGTGTGATTAAAGGTGTGTGCCATCACTTCTAGCTTATACAGAGATAATTTAAAAACAAAAACAAACTTTTTTATTGCAGTTACTTATTTTGTGTGTGAGTGAGTGTGCATGTTCCATGAATGTGGGGAGGTCAGAGGGCAACTTGCCTGAGTTGGTGCTCTAGGTCCTGGGGGGTCAAACACAAACTCAAGCACCTTGATCAGATGGGATGGAGAGATGGTTCAGTGGTTAGGGGCACACACTACTGTTGCAGAGGCCCAGGGTTCAGTTCCAGCATCCACAGCAGGCACTTCCCAGCTGTCTATACCTCCAGCTCCCAGAGGGTTGCACAGGTACAGCACGTTCACAGCATATATGTAATTAATTTTATTAATTTGTCAGTTAACATTTTATTAGTTTTTCAAAACCGGGTTTATTTGTGTAGCCTTGGCTGTCCTGGAACTCACTCTGTAGACCAGGCTGGCCTGGAAACCAGAGATCTGCCTGCTGCTTGCCTCCTAAGTGCTGGGATTAAAGGCTTTTGCCACCACCACTCAGCTACGTAATTAGTTTTTATTTTCTTTTAATATTTAATTTTTTATTTGCAACAGCCTCGTGTAGCTTAGGCTAGCCTCAAACTCGGATGATGGTGAATTGTGAGTCTTTCTGCCTCTGTCTCCCAAGTCCTGGGATTACAGACTTCTGCCACTGTGCCTGGCTTTATGCAATGCTAGAGGTGGAACATGGGACTTCACGTGTGCTCTACCCCCTGAGCCTCATCCTCAGTCCCTCACTCTTTCACTCCAGATTTCCCTTTCAGAGCCCGAGCATCCAGCTTGAGGGGTAAGCATTTGGAGGCCCTTGGAAGACTAGTGAAAAAGAGTGAGGGTATGAGAACTCAGCAGTAAGAGGCAGGATTTTCAATCACAACCAAGAGAGGAGCAGAGTCACCTTGGAGGTTGAGGCAGGAGGATCATCATGAGCTTGAGAGCAGCCTGGTTACAGTGTGACTGTCTCAAAAAGGAAAAAAGAGAGCTAAGAGGAGAGTTACTGTTTGTTTGCTGGCACGCTTGAAGGATGCTCCCCAGTCTTCAGACAGACCAGGGTGTCAGGGTCACCAGCCTGTCCCACTCTCCTCACTGATCTCCTTCTTTCTCCTCCCATCCCCCTCCCTGGCACATTTGCTTTTCAGTTGCCCCGGGTGTCCTCCCAGCCTGTCCCTGTCCCCAGGCTTAGCAAACATTGCAGGCAGCACACAGCAAACAGCCCACAGCCACCTGACTTTGGCTTAAGGGCAGAGGACAGAGACCTTCCCCAAACCCAGCCCCCCTACCTTAGCCTCCCTCTTGGACTGTGGGGTTTGCATGGGGAAGGTTATCGGCTGTCCCAGCCTGGTGAAACAGGGAAAGGTTCAGACATGACCACCAACTACTGCCTCAGTTTCCTCATATGTGAAAATAGTTGTAGACATCTGCCTAGAATCCCCCAGTGAGGGGCTGGACATGTGGCTCAGTGGCAGAAGTCCTGCCCAGCATGTGTCGGCCCTGGTGTTTTGTGGGGACACATTGTATTAAGGCAGGCCTAGGGCCAAGCAATGGTGCCACAGTCTTTACTACCAGGATTTGGGAGGCAGAGGCAGGTGGATCTCTGAGTTTGAGGCCAGCCTGGTCTACAGATCAAGTTCTAGGACTACACATTGAACCCCTGTCTCCAAAAAGAAGAGGAGGAGGAGGGGAAAACAGGCTTAGCATGGTGGCACATACCTACAACCACAACACTCAGGAGCCTGAGAAGGCTAAGGCAGGATGGTCTTGAGTGAGGCTTGCCTGGTATCTAAAGCCATCCTGAGCCAGTAACTGAAACCCCTTCTCAAGAAACCAAAAAACAAACAAACAAACAAAAAACCCAAAGCCCCCCCCACCAAAGATGTAAATTAAGCAACCATTGCTTCAAGCTACATTATTCAACTCTGGCGCTGTGGTCCCCTGTTGCTAGGCAGGTGACAACAGTCTTGGCCCTATTATCTGGGGACTCACGGTAATAGTTCCCAGAAGGTAGCCAGCTAGAGTCTGCAAAGCTGCCATGGAAAAATGCCTGCCAGCCTGGGGTCTGGGAGGGCTTCCTGGAAAACGGGACATGGGCAACTTTGGTATATGAGCACCATGTCTGTCTTTTTGTTCCCTCCTATGCCTTCCCCCATCCCTGCCACTCTATTTCCTAGTCCTTTCCATTACACATACAGCTCAAGGAGTGCCTACGCTGCACTGAAAAATCAAACCCAGCCTTTGGTCACATCAAGCCACGAGAGTGTGAACCAGCCATAAAGACAAACCAGGCATTTGGTCTAGCTCCCTGCTGGCTGTGTGACCCTGCGCCTGTAACTTTACCCCTCTGGGCCTCAGTGGATAGGGATCTTAAGAAGAGTCTGTGGGGAATCATAAAGCGGAAACTATGCAGACCGGGACAGAGCTGGAGAGAGGACTCAGAAGTTAGAGCGCTTGCTGCAGCTCCAGAGCATGCAGGGTCAAACTCCAGCAGCCACAGGCAGCTCCAGACCTCTTCTGTGGGTACTACACACGAGTGGTGCTCGCGAGCGCGCGCGCGCGCACACACACACACACACACACACACACACACATGCGCGCACACACGCGCACACACGCGCACACGAACGCAAGCAAAACAGTCAGACACATAAAATAAATAACAAACACGCTGATTCAGTCCCAGCCCAAAGCACTTCCAGGAGCACTTGTTCTCCATAGGTTTTTAATTATTGTGCGGTGAGGAGGGGCCTGGCAGGTCGTGGGTGTCCTCACGGGGAGGTAGCCTTCTGGGCATCTAGGCAAACGTGGCTTTTAATTTATCCTTCGCTTTGCCGAATACCTCTGAAAACCAGGCCCTTCAGAGAGAGAGATGGGGACAGGGTCAGTGTTTACCCAACGGTCCGAGGGGAGGGGTCCAGACCTCTCCTTCCTGCTCCCTTTTGGTTTCTTTCTTTCATCTCCACCCACACTGTCTGTGGATGAAAATCCTGGGTTGAGTGTCAGTGTCTGCCTCAGTTTCCTCACATAGACGAAGGTGTGTGTGTGTGTGTGTGTGTGTGTGTGTGTGTGTGTGCGCGCGCGCGTGTGTTGGGACAGGGTCTCATGTAGCCCAGGCTGGCCTTGATATGTAGCCCAGGATGACCTTGAACCTCCAATCCTCCTGCCTGCACCTTCCTAATGCTGGGGTAACAGTTTTATACCTTTTTCTGTGCTGCTAGAGGACCAAACCCTGGGCTTCGTGCGTTCGAGGCAAACACTCCACCAACCGAGCCACGTCTCTAGCCAGATCGGAGCCTCGTGAGCCCAAAAGTCAAATAACTTCATTTTGACCTGGCTTTCAAGGCCAGCCCCGTATGAGAGGTAGGTGGTTAGCAGGTGTGCGCAGAGGACAAAGGACAGCCTCCGGCGCTCTTCGGGCACCATCTGCCTGGAGGAGGCTTGGGCGGCTAGCCCCAGGGACCTTGCCTGTGCCGACCTCCCTGTGCCTACCTCCCCATCTGTGGGGTGAAACTCATGCGCCGCTGAACTTCCCTTACACATCTTTGTTTTTTGAGACAGGATTTCTCTGTGTAGCCCTGTCTGTCCTGGACTCGTTGGGTAGACCAGGCTGGCCCCAAACTCACAGCAATCTGCCTGCCTCTGCCTCCTGAGAGCCAAGACTAAAGGTGTGTGCCACCACATTGCCCTTACGCATTTTTTAACATGTATTTTTAAAGTAGACATTTTGTTCATGCCTGGGTGCCTCCGGAGGCCAGGAGAGGACATCGGAGCCCCGGAGCTGCAGTTACAGGCTGTACGGGCCTCCTGACATGAGTGCACCTGCTCTTAACTACTGCGCCCCAGGACTGACTGTTTAAAAATACGGATTCAGGACATCCAATTCAGGTCCTCACAGGCATTTTACGCACTGCGTGATCTTCTCCCTCCATCTTCTTGTTTTTAGTTTGTTTGTTTTTTTTTAATCTTGTTTGTTTTATTTTGCTGGGAATAAAAGCGTGTGCCACCACACCCCACAAGGCTTGCCATCTCTTGCTCCTCCCTTCTCTAGCCTATGCTTGCCCAAGCTGTCATCCCTCTTTCTTGGCCTCTCTCCTTGGCCCACATTATTTTCCTTGTATGGAAGGCCGTTCTCTCTTGCCTGTGGATCTCTCTGCCTCAGGGCCATTGCACTTTCCCTTCACATGAAACTTTCTTGCCAAGTTTAGGCCTGGCTGGATAATTTGTAAACACACCCAGACCTCACTTTAAATGAATGATTTGTCCCCTTGCCAAAAGGAACAGAAATTGGCTAACCAACCTGTTTACCACACACCAGGTGCCTCTGGTGCCTCTTCACTTCCCCCTCAAAGCCACCCCCTCCTTTTTGTTTTTCTTTTGAGGCAGATTCTTGCCTTGTAGCCAAGGCTACAGGACTCAAACTCCTGATTCTCCTCCCTCACCCTTCCAATTTGCTGGAGCCATTTTTGTTGTTGTTGTTGTTGTTGTTTGAGACAGCTTTTCTCTGGGTGGCCCTGTTGTTCTGGAACTCACTCTGTAGACCAGGCTAGTTTAGAACTCACAGAGACCCCCCTGCCTCTGCCTCTGAGTGCTGGGATAAAGGCGTGATCTTCGCCTAGCATCCCCTAGCCTCTGTGTGGCTAATCTGAACTGCAGAGCCTAAACCAGGCACAGCTCCCACTATGACCCCGCCCCAACTTTCCTATATTTTTTCTGTGACCTGGAGATTCAAGTTCATGCATGTCCTTCTTAAGAGCACACAGGAAAAGCCTGTTCAGGCTCTTTTCTAGCTTGTCAGCCACTAAGCTTGGCCCTTCACTGCCAGCTGGAAACACCCTCTAACAGGTGGCCAGGAGTTCCACTGCCTATCCGGACACTCCAAGCACCTTGAGACCTACGATTGGTCATGAGATCTATGATTGGCTCAGGGACAGTGCCAAAAACTCCTCTTGTGCTCAGTTTCCCCATTGGCTTTTCCGCTAGGGTTTTCACAAGACCCCCATCCCCCCAGAACCCCGCCCGTGCCCTGAAAAGGTCCTAACCGTGTCTTGGTCAAAATTTCCTTCTCTTTGATATGTTCAATGGCTGCCCTAGCCTTGTCTTCCAAAGCGCTCCCAAACGCCTTCAGTTTATCTGGTAAACTCTCGAATGTGCTGGCCAAGTCGGGGGCCGCCTGGGCAGGGGGTGGGCCTGCAAGGAGAGGTTTGCAAGCAAATCCGTTAGCATGGGGGAGGGTATCGGACACTTGTTTTTTTTACCTCACTGTCCACCTCCACCATCTATGCCCCGCCCCTCCTAAGGAGATCAGCCAGTCACAGAGGGGTCTGTAACATCACCTGTAGCTGGGGCTCTTTTGAGTAGACTTGCCTCCCCCAATACCCACCTTAACAGAAAAGTAAGCCACCAGCCAGGTAGGTTGGGGACGTTCCGAGGGAAGTGGTGGAATGGTGGCCCAGAGAGGGACCTCGGAGCTCTCCCTCCAGGGTCCTCTAAGTCTGGACGGCGGGCCCACGACCGACCAGCTTCTCATTTCCAAGCCTCCTTCTTACCTTCCAAAGCCATGGCCACAACCACAATCAGGACAGGAAGTGAGATGAGGAGCCTCATGGTGACTGGAGGGGCACCTGGAGGGAGACACGGGTGGGGCACATCACTAGCACCCACCACCACCACCGTGACCCCACCACCCCGGTCTCTTAGGAGGATGAGAGGAACCGGGGGTCACTTTTCCACACACTAACCTGGATCTAAGGATCTGTCAGGAGGACGACAGGGCTGGGAGGATCCTGCACAGTGGTTTAACAGGTTGAGGAGGGGGCGGAGCAGGCCGATCGCCCTTCCCCTGAGCCTCCCCTTTGCCTCTGTGTCTACCTACTTTTTTTTGGACTTGGGATCTTCGGTTGAACTGGAACTGAACACCTGATCTTCCTGCCTCTGCCTCTCTAGTGAGTGCTGGGATTACAGGAGTGCACCACAAGTGGCCCATCCTCTGCCATGCCAGTGGGTACTGGGTGCCAGGTCCTGGTGCCCAGATCCATCCTTTAGGCCTAGGGCTTGTCACTGGTCAGCATCCTCCCTCCCTCCCAAATAGCATTGCTCTTCCTCCAGCCTTGGCCCCTCTGCCCACTCAGGGAGTACATGGTCTCACCTTCTCTCTAAGGCTGTCCTATCTTAGGGGACTTAGAAACAACTCTCCAACCTCCAAATCTCGCCCCTGGCTCCCATCCTCAAGTTACCGTTTCTTTTCCCTTTCCTTGTCCACACGTATCAGCTGACTGTCTATCCAGGGTGCTGGCATCTGGCTGCATTCTCCCTTCAACAACAGTGCCTTTGCATCTGGGCACCCCAGGCCTCCTTGGATGCCCTCTGGGGTCTTAACTTGACACCCCTCATCTCTTTTCTTTAGGACTTGCCTCTTCAGCTAGTCAAAAGTGCAGAGCCTCTCAGTTTGAAAAACTCCACAGTGCCCCCCAACCGGCACAAACCCATTCCCTGCTCCTGAAAACACTATTAGCTCTTGTTGGGCCTCCCAGGCCCCTCCTGGCCCCAAGCCTGCCTCCCCACCCCCTCCCTCCACCACATCCTTTCCCTGAGGCTGGAGTCCAAGGCCTTTCCCTCCCCCAGAGCTGCCACTGACCGGCAGTGACCCCCTGGCAGCCGGTGGCTATGGGCCCTAGACTCTAGGTTGCCTGGCCTGGTGCCCCTGAAGCCCACGTGTCAGCTCTAGGGAGGGGGACACAACAGGGGGATGGTTGTGAAAGGGGTGGAAGAGACTCGACCCTGGCTGTGTTGCAACATCTCTGGGGCCAGCTCACAGCTTCCAGTCCCTGTGGGCGCCAGGCCTGACCCTCCTGCTTCCTGAACGGAGTCCTGCTCAGTCCTCAAGCACCCATCTGCATAGAAGAGATTTCTCCCCTTCCACATTGCTGCTTCCAGTTTCCTCCTCTTCTTAGCAGCAGGGGCCACCCGAGCCACAGGTAGGGCAATGGAAGACTGCTAAGGGCATCCAGCTACCAGTCATTCAACTCGCATTTGTTTGTTTTTTAAAGGGTTTCTCTGTGTAGCCCTGGCTGTCCTGGACTCACTCTGTAGACCAGGCTGGCCTCAAACTCACAGAGAGCCACCTGCCACCTGTCTCTTAAATGCTGGGATCAAAGGCGCATGACACGACCGCCTGGCTTTCAACTCCGATCCTTACACTCCAAGCTTTGATTTTCCGTACGGTCAGCCCAACACTCTATGGTTCCCCTCACAATTCTTGTTCTCTAATGTCTTTCTATGGTCCCTGTCTACCTCTGGGTCTGACTGGGGTCATGGGGAATGGGGTTCCTCCTTTGCTCAGAAGTCTCTGCGCTTTGGAAGTACACCTTTGCCTGTAATCCCATCACTTGGGAGGTAGAGGTGGGAAGGCCAGGGGTTCAAGGATAGCCTAGGCTAGATAGTGAGGTGGAGGCCAGCCTGGCCGCCCCAAGATCCTGACTCAAAAATCAACAAGAACAAAAAGGGTGAAGGAAGATGTGGTTCAGTCGGTTGAACACTTGCCTAGCACGCAGGAAAGCCTGGATGCAGTCTGGAGCACCACACAAAACTGGGAATTATAGCTGGGCTCACTGGCACACTCAGGGAGGCAGAGGCTGGCAGATCTCTCTAAGTTTCAGGCCAGCCTGGTTACAAAGTGAGTCCAGGATAGCAAAGGCTACACAGAGAAATCCTGTCTCTAAAAACAAAACAAACAAAACCCCTAAACTGGGAGTTATGCGTGTGCCTGCCTACCCAGCACCTAGGACTTTGAGGCAGGAAGGTCAGGTGTTCAAGGTCATCCTTGGCTATACATTGAGCTAGCTAAAGAATAGTTCTGGGTACACAAGCCTTTGCTTCAAACAAAACCAAAATCTCTCTGTAGAACACAAACTTAAGCCCTCAGCTAGGCCTGGTGACACAAACCTGTAAGTCCAGCATTTGGGGCTGAGGCAGGATACAGTGTTCAAGGCCAGCCTGGCTCAAATAACATCAGAAGAACTCAGGTCTTCAGTGGGAGATATGCCTGCTGTGCCTCCCTCATTTTGATAGTTGAGATTCTGAGGCCCTGATCCTAGCCCCTGGGCATGAAATGCAGCTGCCTCCTGCCTTGCTGCACTGGCCCTTCCTCTCACCGGGCCAGTGAATCATCTGTGGGCGTGGTGCCTTCCTCCAGATAATGCTGAGCTTGGTGCCAGGAAAAGCTCCTGGCTCAGGATGTGCGAGAGGCCATTGGGGCCTGAAGCCCTGGTCTGACCCAAGAGACAGCTTCTCAAGGCCTGGCCTTGTCCCTGTTGGTGGGAGCCCTGCTGGCTTCCTGAGAACTGAGGGGTTGGGAGGGGAAGGCAGCCAGGGGCTGTCCAGCCTCTACCACAGCCCTTCTGAGTGCCAGCTCCCAGAGGCATGGAGAGAATGTCTGTGTCCCCAGTCTGAACTCACTTCCCATAGGCTTGTTGGGAACAGTACAGGTAGGGGAGAAAGGATAGGGCTGGCTCTGCCAAAGCGTGACCCAGAGGGTGCAAAGACCACTGGACTTCAGAGTAAAGGAGAAAGGCTAAGGCTGGAGAGCCACGATTTTGGAAGGGGAGGAATAACCCAGAGCAAAAGAAACTGCAAAAGGGTGAGGTAGCTCAGGAAAACAGGAAGCCAGAAAAGGAAGCCTAGAAGGGAGCAGAGAGAAGACAAGGCAAGAAGAGGGGTTCAGATTAAGGTACAGGGGAGGATGGAGAGGGCAGGAGGAAAGTAAACACAGCCCGGCAGACTCCAGTTTCTGTGGCTCGGAGGTAGAGCCCCTGCCTAGAATCCCGTGAGGGGCTGGGGTGTGGCTCAGTGGTAGAGCACTTTTCCTCGAATATTGCTGGGTCCTAGGCTTAATTTCATGATGGGTCCTAGGCTTAATTTCTATCACTTCAAAAACAAAACAGAACCAAACTCGAGCTGAAACAAAGAACATAGCCTCTCTCTACATCTCTACAGGCAGCGACAGTGTCATGGAATATATGATATGTGAGGCAGAAAAGATAAACCGAGGCTGGAGCTGTGTGGAATCATTCACAGAGACTCAGCAGTTGCTTGGAGAATCTTTATTAAGCAAGGGCCACCAGAGGGCCAGAGTGGTGTTGGGGACAGGGCCACCTGCTGGTCGTGGATGGCGCCTCAGGGGGTAGGAGAGGGATCTTCATTGACTCTCCTTGGGCACTGGGGTAGGGAGGATGGGATTGGTAGCCACGGAGGCCTGTATCTTCTCTACCAGGTTTGCCCACTGGCGCTGCATGTCATCCACCAGTGGCTCGAACCAGCTCTTGAGGCGGGCTTGGAAGATCTCGGCCTGCAGGCGGATCTGCTGTGTCTGCTCCTCCATCTTGGAGCGCACCTCCTCCATCTGCTCGCGCACCTCCTCTAGGCGGTCACGGGCCTGGTTGCCCATCAGCTCCAGCCGACCCCGGATGCGGGCACCCAAAGCCTGGGCGCGCTCACGCAGGGGCTGTGCAGCCCCGGCGCCCAGGTTGGCCGTGCGCTGGCGACCTTCCTCCACCAGTGGCCCCAGGCGCTCACGGATGGCGCTCACTCCGCGTTCAGCGCCCTCACGGGCTCCGGCCTTGTACACAGCCAGGCGCTTGTGCAGATCCTCGGCATCCCGCAGCAGGCGCTTGCGCATCTTCCGCAGGTGTGAGGTGAGGCGCCCCCGCAGCTCCTCCGTGCTCTGGCCCAGCATGGTCTGTACCTCACTGCGGTACTGGCCCAGTCTGTTGCGTAGGTCTTCCATGTCCGCCCCGAGCCTGGCCTGTGCCGCCTGCACCTCTTTGGCCAGCCTGGCCCGTGTCTCCTCTGCCATCGGGCCCAGCTGTTTTTCCAGTTCCTTTGTGTAAGCCTTCACTTCTGTCATGGTGTCCTCTATCAGAACCCTGCAGGCCCAGAGGAAACACAAGAGGGAGATGAGGGCCTAGACAGAAGGGCCCGGGAACTAGGGTGGGCGAAAAACTAAGACAGAACCAAGGTGTGATGTACTCGCTTGTGTTCCCAGAAGGTGAGAAGTGAGGCAGGACAAGTGTAGTGCCTTCAAAACCAGTTTGAGCTACAGATTGGGGTCCTGTCTCAAGAAGCCAAAAGCCAATAAACCAAAGAGTTTATTGTAAATAAATAGGAAATAAACAGCTGCTTGTTAATCCCAGCACCCTAAGGCGAAATAAGGCAGGAGGGTGGAGAGTTCAAGGCCAACCTGGGCTACACAGTAATGGAGAAAGGAAACAAGGGCATTGGTGCCCAGATAGCGGAGATCTGGGGACCTGGATGTTTAGTGGGTGCAGAGGCTGAAGGGACAGGGGCTGGGCACTCACGTCAGTTCCTGCGTGACCTGTGAGCTCTGCAGATCTTCCTGGACCTGGTCAGACAGCGTCTGCACCCAGCGCAGGTAATCCCAGAAGCGGCTCAGGGCCAGCTCCCAGGGTTGGTTGCTCTGCCATCCAAGCCACTCTGTCACCTCTGGCTGGAGCTCTGGCTCTCCCTCGGCCAGGCATCCTGTGTAGAATAAATTCAAAGCTGGCTCAGGACCTACAGTGTTCTTGGGTCTCTTTGAAGCAACAGTGGGTTCGGAAGCAGTGGAGTCTGTTTAGTTAGTACAAGCATGTATTGTCTCAGTATCCTATATAGTACAGAGCTGAGACCAGGTAAGGTATGGAATTAGAAAATATATACCTCCCCTTTAAACACAACTTTTGATTTGTGTGTGTGTGTGATGTGTGCGTGCGCCGGTGCACCCCTTGTGGGTCAGAGGACATCTAGAGAAATCGGCTCTCCCCTTCCACCATGTAGGTCTCAGAGATGCGTCGTCTTCAGGCTCGGTGGCCAGCACCTTTATTCACTGAGCCATCAATCCTGATATTATAGATAGGGGAAATCGAAAGCTAAAGAGTAAATAAAACAGCTGCTCGGGGCTATTGAATCCCAGAGAGGTCTCAGACATGCCCCAGCCCCAATGTGCCAGCCAGCAGAAGAGACCTAGGGCTAGAATGGGATCCAAAGAGAGGCTGGGCCATACCTGCCAACAACGCGACCACCAACACCGCCCACAGAGCCTTCATCTTCACAACTGTGATGAACCAGCCTGGGGAGGAAGCAATTGTCTTTGAACAGCTGGGAGGGGGCACTCCGCCCACCCAGAGAGCCTCACCCAGTCTCCCTACTCAGATCTGTGACACTTTAGCCAATCACAAATATTTCCCAAGTAGAACACCCGCTCCTCCCAAAGGTCTATTTACTCCCCTTCTGATGCTCACTATCTCTGCATCCCTGGGGGTGGATCGGCTGCCAAAAATTCCAGCTCCCTCTCCTAGGGTTCAAATTCCACTTCATCCAGCAACAGCAGGTAGTCCAATTTACATTCCTCTTTTAACCTTTGGGGCAGAGCCCTGCTGATTTAACGTGCTTTTCAATAGTCCTCCAGCCCTCAGAAGTGGTGCCCTTCCCCCCCCCCCCTCAGGACTTTGGGGCAAGAGGATTGAGGGTCGGCAGTTTGGGACCAGTCCGGTTACTTGGGGACTTGGTGGAAACCATCCTGGGTTGTTTCCCTGTATCCCGCCTTCTAGCTGTGCTAGTATGCACGCAATAAGAGCCCCGCACTCCCAGAGATGGCCTTTCCAGCTCCTCCATCTGTCCTGACTCTGGCGAAAGCGAGTTACATGTCCTTAGTTTGTCCCCAAGTGCCTCTTTTATGCTTCCTGCTTTTCCAATTCTTGTCCCTGTTTCCTGGATACCAGGGGATTCCAAGGTCCACACCCCACATCTTCCCAAGGACCCCGAGTCCCCAGCCCAGCTTGTCTTACCGCTGCCTTCTGAAACAAGACCTCCGGGGGCTGAGCAGGGCAAGGGATCCCAGACTTGTCCAATTATAGGGCTCCCTCTGCCCCGCCCCTCCTCAGGATTTGGGCGGGCTGGGCCAGGACCCTGTCACGAGGCGGGTTGTTCTCTCCCTCTTCACAGCAGGGCAGAGGAGAGAGGAGGAGTTAGGAGGCCTTGTGACCCCCTGCCCCCCACAATGAGAGCTGAAATCTCATAAAATAATCCAGGCATCAGTGCATTCTTTCCCTGTGGGGTCTGGTGCACTGTAAGAAAAAGGCTTGGTGGCTTAAATGGAAATGGGTGGGGGCTGGGGTCCTGTGGCTGTCTTGTGAGATGCTCAGCTTCTGGAGTGAAGCTTGAGTTTTAACCCTGGCCCCTATGGTTGACTCCTCAGCCTCAGGTGGACTCTCCCATCCTGGGCTGGGCCTGTTCCGGTTCCTTCAGGAGCTATTCCATGTCCCCCCCCCCCCCCCCCATGGGTTTGAAGACATCAAGCTAAGTCCTGGGAACCTGAGTGCTGATGCTTCTTCAGCCCTATCTGCTAGTCGCCAGGTATACCTGGTGCCTTGGGAGGGCATTGCCCTGGCCACTTTTATCCTGTGTTTGAGACAGGGTTCTCTGTAGCGTTGGCTGGCCTGGCCTCCCTTTGTAGACCAGGCTGGCCTTGAACTCACAGAGATCTGCTGACCTGTCTCCCCAAGTGCTGGGATTACAGGCTCATGCCACAGTGCCCTGCTTGCCAGCACATTTTTAAAGTTGTTTTGAGACAGGATACTCAGGTTGCCCGCAAAGTCTCAAAGATCCTTCTGCCTCTACTGCTGTAGCATGCTGGGATTGCAGGTGTGCACTTAGCTTTTCCTAGCAGAATTTTTACTCATAAACTCAGAACAGCTATTTTGGGGGACTTGTGCCTGTAGTACTAGCCACTTGGGAAGCTAAGACAGGACCCACTGAGCTCAGAAGTAGTAAAAGTGACTTAGGCAATGGAACAAAGCCCACAAGAAGTGGGGAAAGCAGGCCTACCTGGGTTGTCAGGGCAAAGGGCTCACCCACCACTAGCAAGCTTTCTAGATGCACTGTAGGCACAAAGAGGTTTCCTGTTCCTAGCTGTTGCCCAGAGGGTGGTAGTGGGAGAGGAATCCACATAACAAGGTTTGGCACTGGATGGGGCAGATAAAGGATTCTGTGGGATGAGAAGAGGTGGAACACCTGATTCCCAGAAGACTACAGGGTGCCTGACCAGGCCCAGGCCTGTTAGGTTTGGCCTCAGAGAACAATGGCAAGGAGTAGGTGTGGCTTCCATGGGTTATTAAGGGTCAGTTCCACTGGGCAGCTAGCACCCCCAGACCGGGCACTAGAAAGGGTTTCAGTTTGCCAGTGAGGACATCGACTAGTTTGTTCGAGTCTTTGCTTGGCAAAACACACTCCCAGTGGGGTGGCATGAGAAGCATGGCTGCAGCCGCCAACACAGAACCTAGTTTGAGGCTGTTAGCACATCCCGTGATGTGCAGGAGCTGGAATGTGGAAGAGCACTTTGGTGACCCACCACCTGCGGGCCAACACTGCAAAAGCCCCTTCCTCCCCTCAGAGCTACTTCCCATGTTGTGCTCAAGTTCCTCCAGGAACTTGGCTTCTTCCTCAAGTTTCTGAGACCTCTGACCTTCCCACTGGGAATCTCTACCCCACCCGCTACCACCTCAGCTGTTTTTGGAACAGGGAGGCTCCCGAGCCCCATTTTCCTTACCCCCACCCTGTTTGCAGAGACAAAGTCCAGTGCCACCTCTCCTGGTCAGGTTGCACAGGGACAAGTGACCTGGAGCCACCCTCCTGGTGAGGCCAGTCCTGTGATGTGTCTGCCCCTTAAGTCCCCAAGAGCAAAGGGTGTGACTGGCCAAGCTTTTCCTAAGCTTTCCAGTGCCACCTACTGGCAAGACAAGCTCAGTGACTGGAGAAAACAGAGGCCTCCCAGATCCTTTTTTTCCATGTGTATTTTTTGTTTTTTAAGGTTTTTTTTTGTTTGTTTTTTCTGTAAAATGTCCCGGTTCTTCCATAACTTATAAACATGATTTCTATGGAGGGGTGGAGGGGAGAGGGGCGGCCAGGGGCGCTCCTCTGCTGTCCTCAGGAGGATGGGGACATCACTGTCTTTCCTCCAGCCGCCTCTGCCTGGGTGCTCACAGCCAAGTGCCCTTCAGATTCCAGAACTCCCTCCGGGACCCAGGCCCCTTGGACACTGTCCCCTGGCGCTGGGGATCCTCAGGCGTGGGGTGGGTCCCCTCCTTCCCACTGTCCCAACCCCAGGAGGGAGGGGGGAGAGGAGGGGAGGGCGGCCGGCCCAGTGGTGTCTGCAGAGGAAGGGCAGGTGGGCTCAGCCGATGGTGAGGCCGAAGCCGCACAAGAACTTATTCTTGCGGTGGTTCAGGAAGGCGCAGAGGGACAGTGTCAGGGGTAGGGGTGGCAGCTTCTTCTCCAGTGTGGCGCCCACGATCCAGTTACTGTTCACAGAGCCTGTGGGTGAAGGGCGGGCAGAGACTGGGTGAATCAATGTATCTGGTCACCTCTATGGTAGTCACACCAGACCTCTAAGCACATGCTGTCACAGGTCAAGCAGCTACTCGGCCCTGCTCCTCTCCAGTTCCCTGATCTCTGGGAATGGCTGCTCCCACAGACACACGGGGCTGACGGGCTTGGCTCAGCTATCATGTAAAGGGACAGAATGATTGGGACAGAGGCAGCACTCAACAGGGGATGCTGCTGGGGTCGCAGCCACGCAGCCCCAGACGAGCATCACAGCTCCCAGGGAACGGCGGCCACCCTAAGCTCAGCATCATCCATTTCGACATGACCTAGAAGGAGCTTCTGAACCTGGCTGCCACCACCCAGGCTCCCCAGCTGGGGGGGTGGGTAGCTGTGTACAAGCTAGTCATTTTTCTACACAGGGTTTCTCTGTGTAGCCCTGGCTATCCTAGAATTATGTAGATCCAAGGAAGCTCAATAGAAATGTCTCTGTAAGGGCTGGAGAGATGGCTCAGAGCACTGGCCGCTCTTCCAGAGGTCCTGAGCTCAACCACATGGGGGCTCACAACCATCTATAACGAGGTGTCCTCTTCTGTCATGCAGGAGCACATGCAGACAGAAGATTGTAAACGTAATAGAAAAAGAAATCTTTAAAACAGTTAAGAAAAAGAAATATCTTCCTAAGTAAGACAGGGCTGCAGGCCAGCCTCTAGGGCATTTTCTTTACTAGTGACTGCTGTGGGAGGACCCACTGTGGATGGAGCACAGAGGGGCTAAAAGCAGGCTGAGGAAGCCCAAAGGAGCTTCTGCATCAGCTCATGCCTCCAGTTCCTGCTCCAACTTCTCTCAGTGACAGGTGTGTGATCAAGAGTTGTAAACCAAAATAAAACTCTTTTGCTCCAAGTTATTTATGGTTGTGGTATTTCATCACAGCAATAAAATCCTAAGAGTGAATGGGGAAGGCCAAGTGCAGAGAGCTTGTTAGATGGGCATGGGAAGCAGGGTAAAGTGCTGGGGGAGTCCCACTGTTTGACAAGTCTCCCCGAGCAATCTGGAGGTGTATAAAGCACCTCACACACCCAAAGAACACTTTCATCTTCTCCATCTCCTATGGCCTCTACCACACAGGCAGCTGGAGGGAAACTGAGGCCTTCCTTACCTTTGAAGAGGAAGTTGGCCTTAGGCAGGTCCAGCTGGTACCCAAAGGAGGCACTGGTGTCCTGCATCCTGGTACTGGCCTCAAACTCCACGCCTACCTGCAGCTGGGGGAAGGAGGGCCCACATACATGGGCCACCCATTAGGGCTCCTGGGCATACCAACAGCACTGGTAAACCCGGCCTGGGACTCACAACTAGGAGCTCCCCCCTGCTTACCTGGTCACTGGCTTTGTGGTAGTACGTTGCATGCATGCCTGCCTGGCCCAGTGTTACTGTCGCCAACCAGTTGTTCACTAGGAGAGCAGAGCTGGGTGAAGACTGGGGACGTCTGGAAACCAGAGCCTTACTGTTCAGCCCCCAGCTCTCTTCCCTCTCATCCTCCCTCCTCACTGTGCCCCAGGCTCACATGTGTATTTCCCAGCTAGAGACATGACCGTGCCCTCCTCTCCAGGCCGCCGGTGGTAGACGAGCTCTCCCCCCAGGGCCAGACACGGTGTGATGCTCTGGAGGTAGTGGGCCACGAGGATTCCTGCAGGAGGAGAGGGTCGTCAGACTGCCCAGCCCAGCCCAGGCCTGCCTTTATCTCCCCAGAGGCTGCTCCCAGCTAACCCTTGCAACAGCTCATGCCACGATCCTTCGCTCTGCCTCTCCTGCAGTAGGACCCCCAAAGAGGCAAGCCGCCCTTTCACAGAACATGGCGAGCAGGAATAATAAATGTCCCTCTGCCTCACAGGCCAAGGCTCTGAGGCACTCTCGTTTAAAGGTGAGGGCAGGGAACTGGGAAGGGGGGCTGGAGGCAGCCCTTGAATTCTACTGCTGAATTCAACAGTAGAATTCTTGCTTAGCCTGAATAAGGCCCTGAATTCCACCCCTTGAATGGGAGGGAAGAGAAAAAAAAATAAAAGTAAAAAAGAAAGGACAGAACAGATGGGAAGACTGAGGAGTTCCTGGGGAGAGCCCAAGGCCAGGTGGGCAGACTCCCACAGTCATAGCCTGTCTCCTTGCACAAACTTTCCAGAGGAGTGGGCGTGTCACAGAGACATAAATGCAGGCAAAATACTCAAATACTCATTACACATTAAAAAAAAAAAAAAAAAAAAAAAGCAGAATTTAAGGTCAAAGCTGGGCTGAGGTATCTACAAACTGGCTATATATTAGGTTGGACAGGAGTCCATGTGCTCAAGGCATCCCTAAGATGGATGCTGGCTGGAAAAGCCCCACAGACTCTCTAAGAGGATCCACTGTGATTCAGAGACTTCAGTTTCAGCCCACTAGGAGAGGGGCTGGCTGGGTGGATAAGTTGACCAGGTGTCCCATAGTGGTGACTTCAGTATCTGGTGAACATTCTGTAGATGTTTGGCCAGGAGAGTAGAGGGAAAGCTCTGGTGGCGGCATCACTCTAGAGGACATGGCT